AAATAAAACAGTTAATTTTTTCAACCTTAGATAATTCCACACTGAATACTTGAAGTAATTAGAAGTGCATTTATTAAGTATTTATTACTTATTAAGTAAGGGGCGGTTGTACTAGGTTTGGTGGTAGCAGTATTCTCACTGACATACCAGAAGATAATGTGTACTTATTGAATATTGCATATAGCACCAAGATGACTTGATTTCCAAGAAACCTAGTCTGAAACAGAGATGGGCTAAAAAAAGGTATTCAATATATTCAATTTAAGTTTGCCACTTAAGCAGGCAAAAAAATCCTGCACAAATAAAGATGATTTGGAAGAGAAAATTGGCTGCTATTTGCTGTTTCTGGAAATAGATCTGTGGATCATAATGAAATACAGGTGGATCCACTACTGTTGACATGCTCTTGTGAAAATTGTGAAGGCCATGCTGCTGTATCTTATCAGGTATATAATCTGCAAGACAGTGAAAAAACTCTTCTGCTTTACTCAGGATTGTCAGTTTGCTCTGGAATGATTCCTGAGGGCAGGTGTAGGATGTGTAGGATCTTTCAGGACGGTGTAGATCAAGTGAAGAGCAGTCAGAAGAGACTAGTGAGCGATTGGTTGTCTATACAATGTGCCCTGTAGTTCTACAGGATGTTCCAAATGTGATTAATGCTGTTAGATCTCCAAGACATTGATGCTCCCTTGAGAAGGGAGAGGAGGTGGTTAGGTAAAGAAGTTCTCAGATCAGTACAGTTTAACTGTACTGTTCAGTGTTAATATGAAGACGGAGCTGGGGGAACAAATCTCCCTCTTTAACGTCTCAGGTTATTGTTTAGAACTAGAAATACCCTTAGCTTATCTAGCTTCAGTCTGAGTAGTCAGTACTTCTGCACCTCCTTCCATCATGGGGATAGAAAAAGAAAGGCTTTTGGTACCAAATGTGTTAGATATATTGCCAATTCCATTGGCACACAGGTAACCGTTATTCAACAGAGTTGTTTAATATGCTAGAGAAGTTCCTGCTTTGCACAGGATCCCAAAATGGTGTATAATTACTAACTGATGCAGGGAAGGGAAGGCGGGAGTATTTTTTTTCTTCAGGGATGTGATACTCAGTTATTTCAGCATGATTCCAAAACTTTTTCTTGCCCCTGGGAAGTGTCATATATTGTCTTCCTGTACTTATTCTGGTCTTCTGAAAACTTGAGGCTATCTCAAGCTAATTGGTTTACTCTCTTTCTCTTTGGAGTGGGGCAAGTGAGTCAGGATTCAGCATTTTGTTCTTAGCAGTTAATATATCTGAATGCACGTTTAAGGTGGTTATTGATTTTAAAACTGGAATGAATGTGATTTTTATTTTCTCCTCAAATTATAAGATAGATACATACAGGAGTATTTCATGCTGAATGGGATGTATCTTAACCAGGGTAAGGTTTGGGTAATCTGAGTACTGAAAGAAATTTTTAAAATACAACATAAAATGTGGAATATCCCTCATTTAAGTTCTTTACTGCAGTGGTAATGTACTCTGTATTGCAAGTAGCCATGTTCAATGTTGGAAAACAAATCTATATCTACATGCTTTCCTCCTCTTTGTAGAAGAGACCTATTTTTTTATTAGCTAAAGCCCTTAGTTGCACAGTTACGCAGAAGAATAAGTACAGCCCTGTATGAATTCACTTTCCATTATACCACTTTAACTTTCTTTTCTTGTAGGTTTTGAAACGACCAGAATATTTTGGGAAGTTTGGTAAAATACATAAAGTTGTCATTAATAACAGCACATCATATGCAGGCTCACAGGTAAGTCAGAGGCCCTTGTGACTTTTTTTTTTAATTCCTTTAGAGAAGATACATGCGTGCAGAGTGAATCTGGGGCTCCCTATTTCTGATTAAGCAATAAGTTAAAGAAATAAGAAGAAAAAAAATACAGCATTGCAAAAGTCAAATTACTGTTAAATTACTGAGGCTTTGTCCAACCAGACTCTTAAAGTTGAATGCAAGATGCAATGTAGAAAGATTAAAAACTGTGAGACAGAATGAGAACCTTCAAAGAAGCAGCAATGTGGCATTTATTCACTAATCTGTATTTCAGGGATAAAATACCTTTAAGTATTTTTAGAATTTTCAAGCAACATTTAGATGCATTTCTTTTTTCCCCATTCTTTATGCATCACATCTAAATTTTTACGAATTCTACCATTTTTGTCAGTTTTCCTGTTAAAAACATCTAGCCATGAATATACCAGTTTATGAAGTGAGCTGCTACAAAAGCAACTTAATGTTCAGATCTATCTGGGGGGAGAAGAAAATAAATAAAATATGGTATATTTTCTTTCTAGGGTCCGAGTGCCAGTGCATATGTAACCTACATTCGGTCAGAAGATGCTCTCAGAGCCATACAATGCGTTAATAATGTGGTGGTAGACGGCAGAACACTTAAGGTGGTAATACTTTTACATTCTTATGTATATGTGCTAGGACACTAATATCAGTGCATAGTATAAAATTTTATTTGTATGGATATGCTTGTGTTGATGAACAAAAATGTCCAGTTTATTGAGTATTGGGTTTTCACCTGTTTTCCTAGCATTAATCACAACATGGAACTTCAGTGAGCTTCCAGCAGGCAATGTTTTAGGGGGTTAGCAGGTAACTTCTTAAAACAAAAGTTTGAGACGAAGAAAGATGCACCACTTCCACCTTCCCACAGTGGCTTTTTTGCTATATAGCTTAATAGCACAGTGTGAAAACCTGATTATTTGCTTTTACAGAGCATTTCTGTAGTCCAAACACGACACCTCTCAAAAGCTCCCTAGGAAATGCAAGTTTTTTCCTTTTGGTATCTGTGTAAACAGGTATTCAGGCTGACTTGGCCAAATTGATGGCTTATAGAAAATCTTCTAGTTAATATTCATTTCCTGACCCTGCTACAAAACATTAACCAGTTTCATGTAATACAAACTCATAACTACTTATTTGGCTTCTTATGATTATGTATGCACATATTTACCGAGGCTCTTATTTTGGTGTTTATTTAGATTGGATGAAAATAGAAATACACCCTAATTATCTAATCCTCAAGTATATAGATTTCTTACAAATGGATTTCCTAGTCCACCTGCATCAAAAAATGCATTATGATGGAACTCCAAATCTTGGGAAGGAATTTTTTTTTTTTGCAAATATAGCTTTTTTTCTTATACTGTAAAAGGCATTCTTAACCTCCAGTACTTAAATAATGTGGGGTTTTTTTTCCTTCAGGCATCATTAGGTACCACAAAATATTGCAGTTATTTTCTAAAAAATATGCAGTGTCCAAAACCAGACTGTATGTATCTACATGAGCTGGGAGATGAAGCAGCCAGTTTCACAAAAGAGGAAATGCAGGTAAGTGTAATAATAGGAAACACATGAAATGTGGCATGTATGTATTGTATATAATTTAGTCTAATATGTGTATAATGTAGCCTTTTGCTGAATGTTACGGCAGAGATTAATTTTGAAATCCAAAAGGTGATTAACCTGTTGGATATTTGAAGTGAACAGTTAGTTAAATTTTTTCATTGCATGATGCTTTTAAAGGCTGAAAAGTCCACTGTGTATTCACGAGTCAAAAAGATGGAGATAAACTCTTAGCCAAGAATTCAAATAACCTTGAGTAAGCTACTTGCCCTTTGTTCATACCAATGCAAGGTAACATATGTTATTTTAAATCTCTGAAAGAAGTTAGTGCAGATCTGGGGTTCCTGTAGGTTTTGTGTATGTGGCCAGTTATCATGGCTTAACTATTGTACTGTGATTTGCCTACGCTATCTGAATTCTGATATCCCTTTTAGCCTGTGAAGGGTATAGAAACCGTTTGGAAATAAAATATTGAGGGTAACTGTAATGGAGTATAAATACTGATACGGGGATTTTTTTACTATCTCAACATCAGAATGCTTATTATCTAGTGTAGAGAAGCAAGTAAATGGATAGCTTTACTTTCTCAAAGGTGGTGCATTCTGAGGTCTTTTGGGTCTGGGTCTCTCTCTCTACATGAGGTATGGTAGAGCTTTTAAACTCAATCTCAAGTATGCCAGCCTTGCATCCATGCTGTAATTTTTGCATGTGGTCTGTCCAGGAAGCAGGTGGTCCCCACCCCTAATGCTAGCACAAATGTTGTACAAGTAGATTTTATTTCATGTGTTAGGCTGATGTAAGCCAGAGAATAAGGAAGAATGTCCATATCTATTAAACATTTTTTTCTACAAATTAGCAGTTATTTCTGAGGATTTCAGCTACATTTTCGTAAATCAAAAAAATACACTGCTGGTTCAAATGAATAGTCCCTGTAGTATATATTTTGTCACAGATAATGGCAATAGGAGATAAAATTCAAGGAGAACTTGCAAATGAGGCCACCTTCCCTCTTCATTTCCCTGTATTTCTCCCACCACCTAGATCTGTTACACGTGACTGAGGGTGTGTTCCTGTCTAGGCTTTTTAGTTTTTTGTAGAGCTGTCAGCCATGAATTCATTTAATCCATTTTGAACCTGCTGATACTGTCAACCCTATAGTCTTTTGTGGCAGCAAGCCCCAGAAGTTCACCAGCTGTTTTGTGACATGCTTTCTTTTGCCTTCAGTTAGTTTTGTCAAGTGTCCCCTAGTCTTAGCATTGTAGTGCTTGCTGAAAGCAAAACCCTTATTCACGTTATCCATTGCCTTTGATGTTGTAAAACTTGATATTATCTCTCTCAGCCTTCTCTCCAAATCACACACTTCCTGGGCTTTTAAACTTCTTTGTAAAGCAGTTCCTTCTTTTCTGTGATAACTTCTGTTGCCCTTCTCTGTACCTTGTAACTGTGTCCTCCTTGAGATGCAGAGGTCAGATGCATCATACTCATGATATGGGGGAAGCGAAGTTTAATATAGCAGTCCTCAATGTTTTGTGTGTAGTGTGGGGTGGCTTTTCTGTTTTGTTTGTTTGGTTTGGGTTTTTGGTTTTTTTTGTTTTTTTAAAGTGCCCTTCCTAATAATGCCCAGCACATTTTCTGTTTGATTGGCAGTGCATAATCAACTAACCATTTCAGAGATCTGTTGGCAGTAACCTCAGCATCTCTTCTCTGAGCTGTAACAGCCGGTTCACAGGTCAATAGAGCATTAGTATGGTTTAGGCTACTTTTCCTTTGGTGTGTTACCTGACATGTCTGTGGTGAAGCTTATTTGCCACCTCTTTGCCTGTTTGCTGAGTTCCCTGGGGTTCTTCTGGAGTTCCTCATTACCAGCATGGCAGTTTACTACCCAAAGAGCTTGGTATTGTAAGCAAAGAACTTGCTCTTCACTTTTCTCACGCATGCCGATGGTGTTGCATAAAACTGATGCCAGTCATCAATCCTCATCGCTTGCTTCTGCACCCTAAGAGTGACCATCAAGTCTTACCTTTGTCTTTCTTTCTTTGAACCACCTTCAATCCACATAAGAATCTTTCCTCTATCCCAGGGCAGCTTCGTAAATAACTTCTGGTGTGAAACTTTATCAAAGGCTTTTTTGAAAATTTTGTGGATCCTCTTTATTTCTCCTTATTGATACTATCATAAAATTTCATCATGTTAGTGAAGTAGGATTCCCCTTTACAGAAGATGCTCAGATTCATTCCCAGCAGATTGTGTTTATCCATGAACTTCTATCTTTTGCGGTTTTTTTTCTTTTTAAAATAGACTTTATAATCTTAGGAGGGATGGAGGTTGAACTTAGCAGCCTGTAGTTCACAGGATCTTTTCTACAGCCCTTTCTGTAGAAGGCAATGGCAATCTGTCAGTTGTCTGGTCTAACTGCCAGTTAAAATTGATAGGCTACATACCTTGGCCAGGAATTCAGTTTCACATATGAGTTCCTTCAGAAGTCTTGAGCGGATTATACTTGATCTTGGTGACTTAAATGAATCTTCATTTCCTATTCCTTGTTACATTCCTTAAACTTTCTTCTTGATTTCATATTGCTTTCTTGGAAATCAGTGGAAATTACACAACTATTGAAAAGTGCCAAGATTTATGATCAGGCCTTCTGAATCTTAAGTCTGGAACACATGTTATTATCTATCATATCTTCAGTATTGATTTCAAAGCTTTCACACTACTTGTACACCTAAAAATTAAGTTTTTGGTTTAAAAGAGAGATTCTTTGCTCCTTCCCATCTTCTGAAAAGCTTAGTATGGTTGATATATCAAATGCAGACTGCCTTGGAGATTTAGCTGTTTGTGATTTAGAAGGTATATTGTGAAGCTCTTGATTGGAACTGAAGAGCAAGTTCTGATAAGGTTGTAACTACTTTTCTGCTTTAGAAGTCTCAAAAAAAATTATAAATTGGTAAATATATCCAAGTGATTTCTAGGCAAGCTTTAGATCCGTTGAGATCATGTCTGTGCTGAAATTGAGAAGCACTGTTTTGAGTTTCAGTCAGGAGTGACCTGTTAACTTCTTAAAGCTCAGTTACTAAACTTGGGGACGTACATATGTACATTTATATATTAAAAAAATGTTTTTTTTATATATATTAAAGCAATATTAATTCATTGTGAGTTTCTCTTTCCTTAGGCGGGTAAGCACCAGGAATATGAACAGAAACTACTGCAAGAATTATACAAACTAAACCCCAACTTTCTCCAATTATCTACGGGTACAGTTGACAAGAACAAGAACAAAGTGACAGCACTGCAGAGGTATGATGCGTAAGTACTGATGCTGGACTGCCTGGCTATGCTTTCTTTCTGGTTATTCCCAAAGAAAACTTTCTTATTCCTATTGCATCCCCTAAGTTGCCTGCTGTTTTTAGTGGCTATTATACGATAAACTCTGATATTGCTCTTCTCCGTGCAGAGACATATGCACCACTTTGTTCTAATACAAAGTGAGTGTGAGTCTTAGTGAAGAAATGTTTTTCTGCTGTGTGCATTTGGATCACTAGTTCGGAATGAGGTATTCTTATTCTGAAAGAAGACCTTGTATTTTATATTTACATAAACACATAAAATTTATTAGAGACCAGATGTGAGCTTTCTTGGTGTGGTGTCATGAATGCAGTCTGTACTCTCACAACTGGACATATTATAGTCTTGATGTGTGTTTTTTATTGTGTTTTTTACATCGTGATTTATAGTGCAGTCCTTACATTAGGTGTAAGGACCTTGGAAATGGGAAGTAAAATCAGTTTTTCTTTTGTGTAAGAATTCACAAGATTTGAATAAAAGATTTCTTGGTTTCATCTACTAAACTTAAATGGTAAATTTTTCACTATGTTGTAATCGCAGATATCGCTTATTGCTGCTTGTTAAAATAATATTCTGTTGGAGTAGTTTGTTCAGTAAGTTATGCAAAGATTTCTGCCCATATGAGTACACAGTCATAAAAAGATAAATGAAAGCCTGAGGTCATCAGTCTTTATGTGAATTATCCACTTAAATATCATATTTAAGATAAAGAAATAAAAATTGTTAAGAATTTCCTCCACTTTTTTTGTAGGATTTTCACAGTGAGATGGACAGAGTGGAATGTAAAAGTTAGATTGCACTTTGTACGTACCTTGGCCTTGTAATCAGGGTTTGGGTTGTGTGCCAGTTTATCCACTACTGAATTTTTCAGACAATAATTTGCCACTGGCAGCATCACTGCACAACAGTTGAAGCAAGAAAGTGGGTACTGTATCTATAATATTGCCAATGGAGCTTGAATAAGCAGAACATAATTCTGAGCACTGGTATCCCAGCTGGTGTACTGGGATTATTTTCTTTTAACTTCTGGAGTAAGTGTCATATGCTCTTTGACTGCAAGTGGTCGGGACCTCCAGTTGGATCTTTTCTTAAGGACTGTGCCACTTCTTATTTTTTGGGCACTGGTTCAGTATTGACTGGGAAGGTACAGTGCAGTGAGTAAAGCAAATACACCGCTTCCTGCATTTGGGTATTGATTATTTTATGTTCGAAGTCTGAACTAATCTTAATTTGAAACCTAATTAGATCCCAGCAAAACAAATGATACCAGCGAGGAAAGAATGCTCTACTTGAAACTGCAGCAAACTTTTAAGCCTTCAGAAAGTGATTATGAATTGGAGCTTGGCCAGTCTGTGGTGCTAACATTCTGGTGTTTGTGGAAAAAATGGCATGTTACTCTAAAGGCAACAAGTGGTCTGGAGTTAATTTCTCTTGTCAGCTGAACAGCATCATCATAACACACTCTGTTCTTTGCTAATGGCTAGGCACCACCTTTTGGGTTGCAAAGTAAATTTCTTCTGGCAGCTGGGATTTTGAAATGTTTCTTCAAGTCCCATCTCATAGTACAAAATGTAGCTTGTGAGCTAGGAATGCGTGTTGTTCTCCTTCACAGCTTTCCACCCAATCGGGTTCTCGTTTTTGTCTAATTCATTGATACGATATTAATATTTCTGGCAGTTTGTCAGAGCCTCTGACAATTTTGTGGTTGTTCTTGTGTTTCTGGGGTGCAGGATTTCTGTTTCACTCTGGAATTGAACAGAAGTTGAGTTCTAAATAGTAGATGTTTAATTATAAATATCCAGTAGTAGAAAACAGTTTCTTAAACTGTACGTAAATGCTTTTTCACAATTGTGTCCTAATTTGAAAGGTCCTGCTTGCAGACCTTTTCTCTTGCTGCTGAAGGCAAACATTAAAGTTCCCCGGTGCCACTTTATGTATGTGGGTACTCAGCTCTTGGTATGTCACTTGATAGTCATAGTGACTGCATTCTCCTACAATTAGAGGTATATTCCACATTTAAAACAGATCAAGCTCTTTTTTTTTTTTTTCCTGAAAAAAATGAATGCTTTCTTATGCTACAGGTGGAAACTCTTGTTAAGCACTTGCTGGTCTTCTAGAGAACAGCCCTTTAGAAGCATGCATCTTTGAACTTAGCCAAAACAAAAAAACCCCACATGCACAAAAACCCACCCCAAAACAAAAAACAGTTTCTTTCTCTTTTACCTTTCTTCTTAGATGCAAAACTGACTTCTAACTGTGACATTTTAAAGTTAGTTTTAGTATAGAGATGGCTTTGCACTAGAGTGGACATAAATTTTGATACTTCAGATAAATCTGCTAATGGATTGAAAGTCTTGTTATATCTAGATTACAGCTCATTTTTGTAAGGATAAGAATATTAAATAACTGACATTGTGCTGATGATGACGTGTCTTCGTTCCTTGATGTTCAATATCTGATCAACTCGCTATCTCTAACTCATTTCAAATGTGTACAAAGCAAAGATGAGATCTGTAAATCGGGTCAAGGCGCTCATCTATGTACATATTTTATAGTTACATGAGAAAAGATGGAGGCAAAATAGCAAATCTGACAATACTGAGATTTGAGGGTAGCTAGTAATACCAATTTTATCTGAATAAGAGTAGGAAACACAATTGCTATAAGCAGCTGTGAACTTACTAAATTGACCTAGAGATGTAGAGTAAATGTTGGACCATCTAATAAGAACACATTAATGAAGGGGGGCATCAGGAGGAACATACGTATTTAAAAAAAATTTTTTTTGAAAGCTTGTTCCTTATGAAGACAGCACTTGGACACTAAAAACAGCATCCAAATTGAAGCAAATGAAAAGCTAAAGTTAATATTAAAGAACTGGAGAACACAAAGGCAAATCTGTTATAGTAAGATTGTAGGGTTAGCGGTTGACACTGTATTTGAATGCATTCAGTTATAGATGATGTTCCAGCTCGCTTCAATTCATATAAAATATAGCTATTTTCAGCAAAAACTTAGGCTTTGAGTCCTCTCTTGAACTTCTTTCAGATCTAATGTTCACTCTGAAATTAAATTTAATGTTACTTTATAAAAGGGAAGTAATCATGGCTTTAAACTAGAAATGAAGGGGGCAGTAACTTGAATGAACAGTGTGTTGATCTGACTGGTGTCATGGTCTGTTAGTAAAGCTGTGGACTCTTGTGTAGGCACAAAACACAAACTTCATCTGTTGGGGCCAGGCTTGATAGGGCCTGGAATATAAAATATTTATTAAAAAAAAAGTTATTTAGTTCTTGATTTACAGAACTTACAAATACTTATGGGATAAAGCAAATAATTCTAAACAAGGTGTGTAGGTCTGAATACTTGAAGCTGTTGATGGATTTCCCCCAAAAACTGAAATACACAAAAAAAACCCCCCCCCCCACAAATGGATAAGTTTGGACTTCTGTGTTGGCAGAGAAGCTATCTATTCAGTGAAGAAAACAGAATTCCCCCCAGTATTCTCTCTTCCCTCCCTACCCCACTAATTCTTTTTTTAAGTCATCACCATTTAAAATCTGAGAAATAATATCCAGATTAATCTATTCTTAAGGATTGTCTGGCACAAGGATTCATTTCCCCAGTGCTTACAATTTTTAAAAACACTTTCTTCATAACTTGAACTCTTTTTTTTTTTTTTTTTTTTCTTCTCCACTCTTGCCTTTTTCCAGACCCAACAGTAATAACAAAGATGCCTGGCCATCATTACAGAGTTCAAGTAAATCAGCCAACGGTTTAACAATGGAACACAGGAAAACGCCTCCTATATTAGAAAATGGCACAGACCCAGAACACATGACTCCAGATGGTGCACACTCAGATTTCGGGTAATTGTGCTGCCTTTTATACTTCAGATAGCTTGCTTTCTCTCTCACTGATTGGTGTGGAGGGAATGATCCTCCAGTCTCTCTCTCTGATTGGAGAGCTGGATTCAAATCCTGATCAGGTCACAAAAAGCTGGGCCTAGCCTAGCCTGTGTCAAAAAGACTGATTGGCAGATTGTGCAGGAGAACCCCAAACGTGAAGTTAGTAAGTGATGGTACAGGTAAGGGCTGAGGGGAACTGAATAACTGGGGAATCAACAGCTTATATAGCTGCATGATCCCAGCCAGAGCTGAGCTCTTCATTTCTATACAGAAGCTTCCACAAAAGTAACATGCTAGTTGCTATACATCAGGAGGCTTGTCACTTGGAAAAGCTTCAACAGAAGGAAGCTAAATGTTAGGGCTGAATATCTGTCATCTCTTTACAGTGGTGTGTTCCAGAAACACAATTACAGAGGTGAGGGTTCCCTGATTATCACTCAGTAACAGGAACAACAGGGCAGCAGATTCAGCAGAGGCCTCTTTGTGCAGAGGAAGTAATTCATCTGCTTGCAATAACTACGTTATAGCTAACCAACATTTTCTCCTCTTTTGGTGCCCTCCTTGAATAGAACTGGTGTCCTCATAAGCATTACTTGCAGTTCCGATGGTAGTCAGTAGTCGTGCTGTTTTGTTTTTTATGGACCCCCTTAGGTAATATCGGTTGGGCTCATTCAGAGGTTGGATAGGAAAATAACAAGGTAAACCCTGAATATTTCAAGAAGTGGTGTTGCCGATTAGGTAGCTGATCTTTGTTTTGAATCAGTATTGAACCAATGCATTAATATTGTGAGTGCTGTTGACAGTGGTACCTTCTTGTTAGGCTTAATAGCAGTCCTGTTGAGGTGTGATCAGAGATCCTACGGTTGCATCTCAGTAGTGACATGCAGCTTCCTTCTTATCTTTTCTGAAAAGAATGTACTAAATGTAGGTAAAAATATTCTAGCCATTAGATAATGAATCTTTTTCATTCCTGAGGGCTGGAAGCCTGTCTTACAATTAAAGGCTCCTTAGGCAGGTTCAAGTATAATAAACACTTTCAGCACTTAGATTGTCATTAAAAGTTGTCTTACACATAGCTTTTTAAACTGCAGCATTGTGACTTCCTGTCAGCAGCTTTGGGAAAAGAATTTGGCTGGAATATCAGTTTTACAATCAGAATGACCGTGTAGTGAAGAGTCTACAGCAAACTTTCATGTTATAGGTATTCAGAAATTACTAACCCAAGGCAGTTTGTTCCAAATGGAAGAACTTTATTCATGCTGTTCGACCACTGAGTAGAAAGTATTTGTAAATCTTGACTGGAGTAATGCTTGTTTGCAAGTATATTCCTCTGATTTTTCTTTTATAGTCATAAATACTTCAGCTTCAGTTATCTTTTTGAGATACCGACTCAATCAGTGTTCTTTTGCACAAAAATTGTTTTTATTGACAGATTACTCTTATACAATTTCTTTAGAATGGAGAAGAATTAATTCTGCTGGGTTTCGACTCTAGTTATTCTGGGATGGGGAGAACAAATATGGAGGGAAGCAATCTTAAGAATTTTTGACCTTGATATGTGGCTCTATGCAATATTTAAACTTTGCAGCAGCGAGGGGTGTTTGAAAACAAGGTGTAGCTACAATCTGAAGCCTGCACCCAGTTAAAATCATTACTATATATATATTTGTCTTGTGCTAACACATCATGCCTGTAATTTGACTTGTATCACATTGTGGCCTCTTAATGGAACTGAAATTCATGTTCTTACTTCTGGTCCTTGTTTGTAGGACCTTGTTTTGGGCTGTGCAGCCCAAAGCTTGTGCATCTTCTCTTATGGGTAGGTAAAAATGATAGTACCTTGAAGTTGTAAAGCAGAGATTTTAATCTGAACTTGAACTAATAGTGTTTCATTAGTGTGATATTGAGCATAATTAATGCAACTCACAGATGCCTGTCAGAATCTTGAATCCTGAGATGTGCCATTTCAGCCGAGTCATGTTAACTCCCAGTGAATAGCTTTCTGAGGTGGTTTTCTGCTGTATCTTATCTTCTATTCTCTGTTTGTTGGCAGTTTTTTATGCTATATCTTTTCCTGTGTTTTTCCCCTTCTGTCATCTCAAAACTCAGTTTTCTTACCTTGGAACTAATTTCTGCTAGTGAAAGCTTGAAGGCTGGTGGGAAGCTTAACTTGCCACCGGGACTAAATAGTTAGTTTAATCTTTTATCTCTCCTCAGATCTATTTAGGACTTGTGTGGGAACTGACAACTTAGGTATTTGGAAAACAAATCTGTTCCCAAGTTTCTCTCCAGTAGTAGCATAGATGGAACTGGCTACTATGGAATATTGCCATAGTACAAGAGTCCTGTTTTTTTCGAATGGCATAGAGTTATTATGAAGATGTTTAAAACTTTCCTTTTGTTCCTTAACAGGGCAGTCAACACACAGAGAGGAGAGTGGTGGGAAGAAGTATTACAGTATATGGCAAATGACTGGAATGCTTATGATTAAAAAAACCAGTCTCATAAATAAGTGGATGTTTTTCCTTCTTAACTCCTCCTAATTAATTTTGCTTTGTCTTTATTTCAAGGATTTTCTACCACTATGAAAGCAAATGTTGCTTTTCATGTTAAATACTCGAATGTCTTATTGTCTCTTTTCCCCTCCCACTTTTGCAGCCCTATTGACAAACCTTCAGATTCCCTCAGTATAGGAAATGGTGACAGCTCCCAGCAGGTAAGACCTACGATAAGTACTGTGAAAGTAAGAACTAAGTTTGAGAGCTTGGTGCAACTTGTAGTTGGAGAAGCAAATACATTCTGAAGTGCATCATAATTTTAAACAAAACTAAAAAATGCTACTGCTAAGTTGATATTTACGTTTGACCTTGTACTGAACTATATATTAACTAACCTAATCGCAGCCAAAAGTTTTGAGGAAATTTTTCAACTGTATTAGTGAAGAATTTTTTTATCTATAAACACTCATGTCCTAATAGTTTCTCTTGCTCTTTTGCCTGTAGATAACAAACAGTGACACACCTTCACCACCGCCTGGTTTAACAAAACCCAATCCAGTCATACCCATCAGTTCATCTAATCACAGTGCACGGTCCCCTTTTGAAGGGGCTGTAACAGAATCACAGTCGCTCTTCTCTGACAACTTTCGGCACCCTAACCCCATCCCTAGTGGGCTTCCTCCATTCCCCAGCTCTCCACAGACTTCAAATGACTGGCCCACAGCACCAGAACCACAGAGCCTCTTCACATCAGGTATGTAGACAGGTTACGTGGCTGAGTATTGCTTGCTTTTGCAACTGATGTCTAAAACTGTGTAGAACCAAAAACTCTAGGACTTGCTCCATACTGTTTTTCCCCCCTTCACAAATGATTAAAATTTGTTGCTTAACTACAAACGAATTGCACTGACGTAAGGGTTTCTTCTAAAAGAAACTTTACAGAGTTTTCCAGCTGCATGGCTAAATTATCAGAGTGCTTGTTTCAGTTTTCCTTAGCCATGTGCCTGCCTAAATAATAGGATGTGACATGTATGCTTAATATTTAATGTTACAGGTTTTTATTGAGAGCGGGGAAAATGCATGGTGTCAGTGTATGTTAGTGTAATAATCTGTTATGATCTATAATTCTAACATCTAAGCTGTGCAGTGGAATTCAGAATTTTCTTTAATATCCTGCATAGTTACCGGAAAGTGCCCAATCTTTTTCTTTCTGAAGTAAGATTATATACATTCAGAAAAGATAAAAATATGGTTAATTGCATCAACTGAAAGATACCTGTATTTTCCAGGTACCTTCCTATGAAATACTACTTTATATGAAAGAAACATCATTTTAGGTGTATTTACATAGTCTTGGGAATGGTTAACAATATTGAAGGGCTCACAAATTATAAAACTGACGGAGTTGTTAGAAAATTAAATGAAACAGTATCAGTAATAAATAGAGTGTAAATGATACTTTAGGACACAGTTGGTTTACTTAGTGATTAGTCCTCTTTTGACATTTATCTGACTTCTAGATGTCATAATCCTGTTTGTAAACAATATTTTATTACCAAGGAAATTACCTGCTGCTAAGGTACTATAAGCACCAATTTTGTGAGGATTAAGTAGCAGTGAGAGACAATTTCCAGGTAGTAGAGATCTTGTTTGTTTCACAATTAATAAAAAATATATGGTTGCTATTTAAATAAGAATACAAAGGACAAGTTTTTGTCTGTCTAGCAACTCTTTTTATCTATCATCATGGATTTTAGAGTGAAAATAGAAATGTAGATTTCTTTTCTAAGAGAGGATACTGAGCTTAATTTTAACTACTTAAAACAGCAGACCAGGTTCCCTACCAGCAGAGGGAGTTAATGTTGTGAGTGATACTACCTTGTACTCATCAGCTTGCATTACCACAGTTTTGAGGAAAAATGCTGTGAAACTAGACCCAGCATTCACTGAACCTGAATAAGAAACTTAAACAGTGTAATGAAATGAAGTAGTAATTGAAAATGCAGGGAAATTCTGATAACCCTTTTTTGCAACACTGCCTCAAAATATTTAACAATATCTTGTAATGCAGTTCTTTATTTCCTTTTATTTTATCAAGGTGTCTACTCAAGAATTTGGCTTGTTTTTCTTCATAATGGTAGACAGTGGGGTTTTTTTTTGTTTTTTTAACCACTGCTCAGAGGTTCCCCCTTTTGAGAGGGAACATCTCCTCCCCACGTTTGTTGTACAGCAGAGCTGAAGCACAGCATTAATACCGAACTGAATAACAATCTTATTTAAACTTGGTGCTTGGTCACACTTCCATCAAGTAATATGGGTGTAAAGAAGGTTCTAAGCAACTGTTCATTGGTCTCTTTCTACTTGGTGCTATTACTGAAAATGGACAAGGCTTTTCTGTAGTTTAGGAACAGAGCAATTCTGCAGTAAAAATACTATTTGCCAGTTCTACCACTTCACCTTAAGTAGAAGTCTATGACAGTTTGATCTGGAAATGGCATTCTAAGCTGATGAATTAGGTGTCTTTGGGGTACGTATAAAGATTTATATGAAAGATAACTGGCAACATAGATTCAGATACACTGAGGCTGAAATTTTTTTGTGGATAAATACTTAGTAATTCTTGTTCTAAATCCTGTTCCTCTCCTCTCCGACAGAAACTATACCAGTATCCTCCTCCACAGACTGGCAAGCGGCTTTTGGGTTTGGTTCCTCCAAACAGCAAGAGGACGACTTAGGGTTTGACCCCTTTGACATCACCCGCAAAGCCTTAGCAGACCTGATTGAGAAGGAACTGTCAGTGCAAGACCAACCTTCCCTCTCGCCCACATCTCTTCAGAACCCTACCCCACACACTACAACTGCCAAAGGGCCAGGCTCTGGATTCCTGCATCCTGCTGCACCCACAAATGCCAACTCTCTCAGTAGCACCTTTCCAGTCATGCCACAGAGGTTCCCACAGTTTCAACAGCATCGAGCAGTTTACAACTCCTTCAGTTTTCCAGGCCAAGCAGCTCGCTACCCTTGGATGGCCTTCCCACGCAATAGCATCATGCACTTGAACCACACAGCAAATCCCACCTCAAATAGTAATTTCTTGGACTTGAATCTCCCACCACAACACAGCACAGGTCTGGGAGGGATCCCTATATCAGGTAGGTGAATCGGGACAGCTGTGAATATGACTTAATTCATGCTTTCAGCTTCTCGGAGCCAGGACAGGAAAAGGGAATAGCCAGCTATAAGTGGTAGAGTGGTATCTCTTGACTGTCATACTAGGTTTATGAATTGAGGGAGGGATATTGTTTTAAATAGGCCCTTTCCATTTTTAAAAAAAAAATGTATCTGGATATTTAGCCTTGTAATATTGAGCTTTATAAGGAAGGTGGAGTATTCTGTGCCCGCTTAACTTTGTGCCAAAGCAGATTGGTATTTTGATTCTTCAGTCTTGCCAGACTGGCTTTCCTTAGGAGTAGGCCCTGGAAGCGCATTGCAACTTCCACGTCAACATGCAGGTGCTGACCAGAGTTCTTAAAATTGTGCAAAAAATTGTAATGATGGTAATTTGTGCCAGATGTCTTGGCTGGGTTGTTCCCTCTTGCGCATAACCAAATGGCTGCACAATAAAACATTCAGTGCTGTTCATTTCTGTACTTCAGATGGCCTTAATATTATGCTAATCTTTCACTGAATGGATGCTTGCGATGTGTGTAAGAGGATTCATCCTGATTGTGAGGGTTGTGATATTGGAGGAAAACAAATGTGCAGTCAGGCCAGTTCAGGCTGCCCTGAATGGATTGATAGGCTCTTGCAGCAAACGTTACAACTAAAGAGCTAATTGTAACAATAATTGTCTTGATTAAAAATTCACTTCTGGAGTTTGAAGTCCTTCCATATTTCTGATTTAGCTTGGCCCAAACAGGTTCTCTTTTCCTAATGGGGGGAAAAAAAATTGTATTAAGTGTATAATGAACTGCAGGTAGAAAGTCTCTGTAAGCTCTTTGTAGCTTTGAGATGTTGCCAGTGTCGTTTTCTTTTCATGGGTTTTGAGAAGTACTAGCTATACTATAAGAAAGTGACCTAGAAAAAGTCACTGTGTTTTTGATGCTCTAGTACAAGAGCTAATTTTGGCTGTTACTTCCCTGTACTTTGTCCTCTTTGAAGGCTTGTTGAAGCTACAGTACTGTTGTAGGGTCCTTAGGCTGATTCATAGTATAAACACTTGGTCCAGGCTACAAATGCAAGTAGTTCAAAATTCTTTATACCTGCAGTGGCAAAGTTTTTAGACTAAAATGACTGATGTTTGTTACAGTGAAGGGGGGGGTATTTTTGATGTGGAGTCAAAAAAGCAGCATCCATAGCACTGCAAATCGTTGCGCACTTCCCCTAAACTACATTGCAAGACATCCAGGAACTTTGCAAGACATCAAGTTTTGACTTTACCACTCAGTTCTAAAAATTGCTAGTTCAAGGGGCCAGTAAGAAGACTATCTTCTGGACTAGGGGGACTAGAAAAAACCTTTAGTGTTGAAAAAGATCTGTGTGTAGTACATGTTAATTCTAGGTTTGCAAAAGTATTCTTTAAATTGCATTACTTCAGTTGCCTTTGGCAGTTTGAAAATGGACCTCTTTGTAGAAGACTCGTAGATCCTTGGTATGACTCCTGAAGAGCCAGTTGTGTGGTGTTGGTTGATGCACAGCCCATGCCATGTACTTCCCCCATATGTTTTAAGGCAACAGAGTTCATATTTAAGTATATCCTTTTTTGTATGCAACTGCTAGAACCAATTAATCTCAAAATATTTTTGGCAGATACAGTGCTAAAAACAGAAAATAAACATCTGCTGTAGTCTCTATGGAAAGTTCCTTTGAGTTGGTCTTAATCTCTTGTTACAGAAAACATTGTTAGTTGCCTGGCTGACAATTAGATAGCAGCAGTTGCTGCAGTGCAAACACTTCTCAACTGATCTTCGTGTCAGCTTTGATACATCTTGAAAAAAGAATCATTTGCACAAACACAGATTACTCCTTTTTCTTCTGTTGTCAGAAGTCAGCTGAAGTCTCAGATAGTTCTGGTTTTGTTTGCTGGGTTATGGATTTGTATTATTTGTATGGTATTTAGTGCCTAGGGTTTTCTTTAGTGATCTAACTGCTTCAGAAGTACAAATAATTTGAGTCAGGAGATGCCCTCATACCTCTTTCTTGTGCTGACTTAATAGTTTCCAGTTTATTGATTATTCTGTCTTTTCAAATCTGTATCTAGTGTATAGGTCTCTCAGCAAATTCCTTTTATATTCTTTTTGAAATAATAATTCCTGTTCTTTATGCTTGCTTTTAATCTATCAGTAGCAGGTATATAATTATAGGATTTTCCTAGTTTCCTCATTTGATTTACAGATACAGCTGTCTGGTGGGGTTGGGGGAGGAAGGTGGTGTACAAGTACAGAGAAATCACGTTGATGGGACTTTATTACAGTGCTTTATAAAAGACTTTAGCTGACCTGCTAGAAAGGCGGTGTATATCATAATAGCCGTTTAGCAGTATGGAGAGATTAGTTGTAGTATACCTGAAGCTCCTTTTTGTTAGCTCTTTCGTTAGTCTGTATTAGGATGTTTTAGAAAATGTCATCAACTCAGCTGTTTCAGATGTCACAGCAAAAAAAAAACCTAGTGCAGGTGAAACTTCACATTCTGTCTTCTAGCAGAGACCCTCAACTGCTGTTGAAATTGCATATTTCCTAAGGTCTTTGATCACAATTTTTTACAGGACTATAAATTCCTAAAGCAGATAATACTGGACCAGTCATTTAAAAAAAACAGAAAACAAAAAACAAAAACCACCAAAAACCAAAACAAACAAACAAAAAACTGCAAAGAAAACCCCCCAAACAAAACAAAAAACAAAACCCCCCACATTTGTTTATTCTGTGCGTTTGCCTGCTCTATTTAATCAACCCTTTTCAAGTTTTCTATTTCATTTATGTGAAAACAAGCAGATCTAAAAACTTATTACAACTTCATATACTATTTTCTAGACTTTCTAAATCCAATTTTAGTTGATTTCACTAAGCGTATTTGTGGTTTGGAAGCTTGTATGAAGAAAATGATAACTTTTAAACTGCTGCTGCTTCTGCTTGAGGTATTAGTATTCACATGAATTTGAAATGCTCATGTGTGACATGTTAAATGTAATGTTCTGAAGCTACCTTTTGTTTAGTCGAGAATCAGAGCTGTGCTGTATTCATAACCCCACATCTCCAGGTAGGGCTGTTTTGAGATGTGCACCAGATTTAAATGGAGGGACACAGGCACTACCTACTTTTTTTTACTTAAGCTCTCATTTAAAAATGATTTCTATATGGAATTTAGTAGCCTATTTCTCAGAGGAAGCAGTATTTATTAAATTCATTCTGCAGTTTCCAGTGAAATGACACAATAACACGATTGACTTTATAATTTTATTATGCATATATTTGAAATGTGTCATATTTATCAGGCATACATTTGTCCCCAACCCATATTTAAATGAACTTTTTGATTGACTGATTCCGAAACTAGCGTTTTTTTTCTCCCCCCACCGTATGATTTTGCAAACCATAGCAGATGTTACGTGTTCTCATTGTAAGGGACATTTTAGGCTTGTTGCTTTTCTCTGGCGTGGGATGGATTAGATGATTTACTGTGTAATTATAACTGTGTAACTGTGCTTCCGGGGAAAAGTTCAGTGGCTTCTTATTCATGGACAGCATGATTGTTGCTAAAACCAATTTTACCCTAGATTGTGTGCAAGCTATCCTAAGAATATAGGACAGTGGCTATCCTTTGTTCTGCAGATAATGCCAAAGGAAAGATCCACTGACAGCAATGTGGGTGGATGTCCTCTTCATTTTTATGTTACTTTAGGATAACAGGAAACTCTTTGTAATTTGATAGCTAATACGCTGTCATCTTCGCTACCCTACTGCCTGGTGGTGTGTTCTAAAATAATAGGTATAGTATTGGATCATAGAGTAAAGTAGGTCTCAGATTAACAGTGTGTTTTGAGACAGATACTTATAGAATGAGATGCATGCATATTAATAATGGGAAAATAGAAATATATAGTTTACTGCGTGGTTGGTACTCATTGATTTTATTACATAGAAAAAGTATAAGAACAAATTCACACAATTAAAAGTATGAGAAAAAAGTTGTAAATGGTTAGTCTGCCTTTCCCATCAGTTCTGTGCAAGATGATGTACTTGATACTTTGAAACACTGGCTGTTATTTGATTTATTAATTTCATAATTATCCTGAACATAATTCCAAATGAGAAAAAACTTAACTGTAAGAACTTACCAATTCAATAATGATGAGATAGTTTGAAATTTGAACTCTTCCAAGACTAATGCTACGCAATATTGTGTGTATATTCTTCCCACATAAATCATTGAAACTCGTGGAGTTGGAAGGGACCCACAAGGACCATCGAGTCCAACTTCTGACTTCACACAAGGCAGCCTAAAAATTAAACCATACATGTCAGAGCATTGTCCAAATGCTTCTTGAACACAAACAGACGATTTATGTATATCATTAATATATTAGAAACCTAAGATAGAGAAGGTAGTCAAGTGGACACAGAGGCAGATAGGAAGCACGAAGAATTAAACCCTGTTCAGGGTAGGGGAAGCAAAAAGTTTTACTTGTTGTCCTTGAAGATAACCACTGTAAAATCCATCAAGGTATTTTAGCCATGAAGCCCATTGATGTGGAGATTGCAGTAGACTTCTGTGAACTGTTCCTGAAACTTCAAAACAGGGGGGGTTTAATGTCACAAGTCTTTGTAGTTGAATATAACTGACAAATCAAAATTTTGTTCTCTCAAGACCTTTTTGTTTTGATGTTGTGGCTTATATCTCTTGAATATGCACAGCCTAATTGATGGAATTATGTATATTTAAAGATGAGATTGACAATAAATAGGTAGACAGTTCTATTAAGTTCGGGTGCCATCCAGCAGTCTTTGTGGTAGTGGTGTTGCATTCTTTATCAAGACACTGATGAGCATGCACATTTTTGAGTCTTGCCTGCATTTAGGTTTTTGTGAAGCAATAACTGGTAGCAGGGAGGGCAAAGCAATGAAGGTTGTATTAAGAAGCTCCAACTTCTTCC